GCCACTTTATGCGGCATACTGAAGAAGGATGTTTGGCTTTCTGGCATACCCAACTGGTATTTTCAGCATCTGCGCCTTTTGCACAACATCGTTCACAACGATATGGTGACGGCGAAGGTGATGAAGATCCCATACTATCATCAGTATCTCCCGACATAGTATCGTCAATATCTCGTGGAGGACATGCTTGCACCGAACACAAGACACGTCGTGGACGCTGCCGCCGTAAAATACCGCGTTTGAAGGAGAACGGAACAGCAAAAACTTGATATTTGTGCCGATGTTCGAACAAAACTCATTCCACTGTTTTTTGTGGTTGTGAGGCCCGAGACTTGGGCATCACGCTTCTTGCTGGTGGAGCACGGAGCACCATTTCCGGTGCTTGCGCTTCCTGACAGCACCTTTGCGGCTGAGACCCTAAACGTGGGTGGGGGGGTAAGGTTCGAGGCTTGCTTGCAGTGCCGAGGTCCCTGTCTTTTTTTACTACAACATCCACCACGACATCCACCACAACAACACAGACAACTACAACTTCAACAACGACCAGCAGCACCACGGCCACATCGACTACCACATACACCGTCTTCGAAAATGAATCCATGAACGAGAGCATGAATGCGAGCGAGAATGCTTCAGATCCTGATCTGGAGGACGACGAAGAGGAGGTTGAGTTTGAGGAACACAATGAAACCTCTGCTGATTGGCAAGATGTCTCAGGTGAGTATGTCATAGAAGAGCCCAAAAGGCTGATGTTTGCCACCCGCGACTTCCACGGGAGCTTGCTGATTCCTGGAACCATGTATTCCTACGCGTTCATCTTTGCAGATGCCCTCGAGCTTGCTGCGCTTGAGGAGAACGACACATGGGACCTTTCATCAGTTTCAGGGATGGAGTCCGTGGCTTTTGCTGTTTCTGCAACTTGGAGGCGCTATCAGATGTGTGAGAGCTCGCAGCTTTTTCCAAGATACATACCCGTGAATTCCCGAGAAGTCCTGCAACACGCCGGTAAGGTTCCGTTTCGGGCCGACTCGCCACCAAGCAGAGGGCGGGTTATTGTCACCCCATTGCAGGGCCACGTATTTCTGCAGCAAGCAGTTGCCACGGGTCTTTTTGAGGAGCACAGTCGATTGCTGTTTGGTTGGAGATGCTGCCGCTTTGCTGGATTCGTAGCTGCCTTCCTGCCAAGGCACTGCAGACACCATTTCGAATTGCAACCGCTGACTGGGAGGATGAGGACTAGAATGACTAGAAGCGGAAAGTAAAAAACTCGCTGTTCCCAGAGACGGGAATGTGGAAGCTATCGCGACCCAGGACGAAGAGCTCGAGTACGCTTTCTACCGCTTTCCGATCCCGGGGCCGGGTGGGTTGAGTTGCGACACAGTCTGGATCAAGAAGCTGAGTCTCGGCAGTTTCATCATATTTCATCTCTGTGTTTGCTGGCAGGAGTGGTGGCACCAGCTCGCACGGCTTGGAGAGTCGCTTCGACATGCCGGACATTGAGCTCTGCTCGGCACAACTCAGGGTAGTCTGATCATGTTCTTTGACGATTCTCCGTCGCGCCCTTTCGTTTCTGCAACAGTTTACGCCTTGGCCCAGGAATGGAAAAACGCTTCTCACACGTCGCACTGGCGCAAACAGGGAGGTCATTTCGTTGCACTAGACAAGATTGATTGCAAGGAAGCTGACATGTTGAGCGTAGTGTCCGGAGCAGCGATGCTCCGTCGAATAACTGTTGAGTTAAGTTTAACTTGCTCGTAGTAACCATGAGCTGAGATAGCGAGGCGTGTTGCTGCGATCGTTCTCTGCGGTGAAAACCCTGGAAGAGCTGCGCCTGCCGGTAGGATCGTATTTTGTGGTCGTCAGGGCGAGGGACAGCGCCAACGGCATGCATACAGAATTTTTGGCAGCACCACGGGTCTTTGAACCACCAACGGGCGTCAACGAGGCCAGCTTGATAGAGCTACTTGATTCAGCCCAGAGCAGCAATGATGCAAACTCGATCATCAATGCAGTTGATACTGTGATCTCATCTTTGCCTACGTCCTCGGAGGAGACGTCGCAGCTCTCATTGCAGCTAATTTTACAAGCGACTGCACTCATCGATTCTGCAGAGGTTGCTGTGAAGTGTGTAGAAGCAGTCACTGCAGTACTCGTTGGGGCATCGAGCGACGGCACTGCAGAAGGTGACACCCTGCAGAGTGCCAGTGCAGCTATTGACTTCGCTTTAGACGCCATGAGTACTGTGGGTATGGTCAGTGACGCAGGGGCACTGGTGCTGGAAGGCATCAGCACCGTCGGGGCGACAAGTTCAAGGAACGTTCAAAACAGGGAAGCAGCTTCGCGTTTGACAGGACGAGTCAAGAGCCTCACCACAAAGCTTGCCGACAGGCTGCTCTCCCAGTTGGCACAAGGCCGAATGGAACTGTTGAGAGCGGACGATGCAGCTGGGACTGGAGGAAGCTCTAGCCTTAAGGTGGCCAGGATTGGAAGCTCAACCGCACGGCGTTTAGCAAGCGCAACCAGCTGCGCAGATGCTTCGGAGACGATTGAACTGTCAACGCTCCAGGTGACTCAGCCTCTGCTGGCCTCTGAAGATGCTACTCCCTCGCTTCCAGTGTCTGGGCCAGCCGTGGAGTTTCAAGATGCCGTGTGGCGATCCACAAATCTATACAACTGGGCCAATCCTGCTTTGGGTGTGAATGCTCATGTGCCTGCCGATGCCACAGTTCGCAGCTTCGCTGCGACGGCATGTGGAAGCCCAGTTGTGCTTTTCAACCTATCGGCCCCGTTGTACATTCGGCTCCGTCTACCTCAGCCTGGAGCACCACCCAGTGGCTACTTTCTGACACCAGCCTGTGCCAAGTGGCACGAGGCCGACACTGCCTGGAAGATGGATGATTTGCAGGTACAAGACGTGGATGCAACGCATCTAACCTGCATTTCTTTTGCAGGCACGGGAGTCTACACGGCCTTTTTCTCGCCAACGCCAGAACCCACTTCCACATCCACGAGTTCCACAGTCTCCATGACGACATCGACAAGCACGTCAGCGACTCGCACATCAAGTACCGCCACCGGACCACTGACAACAACCGCATCTTCTGTCACGGTGACTGTCACTACTGTGGTTTGGTGGGCGACTGCTATAACAACGCTGGGGATGGATGTTCCTTTCTGCAGTGCCATCGCTGCAGCAAGAGAGAGTCTTTTAGCTGTTTGACTCCGTCGAGTCAGGTGAGTCATCGATGCCACCCTCGCCTCCAGGAGCTGCGCCCTTCACTTGTTATGGACCGCGCCGGGCCTCTTGGCTGCAGCGGATACGCCAAAGATAAGACTCGAATGTCATATCCTTGAAGCGTGTTGCTAGCTTTGCCAGGACGGACTGTGCTCTGCCCTTCTTCTGACAATAAGGTCGGCCAAGAGTGTCGTGCCAAATGCGATCCAGATCCTCTAAACACAGATGCTGCTGCGATTTCGTGCCTTCCAGGTCTAACTTGGGCTTTCTCAGAAAGATGTCCATCCCCAACTGATGCTCGGCACACATGTCCCATCTTTTCTCCTGTCTTCCTAGCTCGACAGGGCACAGTCTCTTGCAGCCAGGAGTTCCCACTCGTCGTCACGACGGAAACGCCGACGACCAACTATGAAGTTATGACCGTATACGGCATGATTGCGCTCGGCATCCTAGGGTTCTGTTTGTGCGCGGCCCTCGGCTGCTCACTGGCGTCGCATCTTCGGTCAGCCGGCGAGCAGAAGCCGAGCCGCGTGGCACCGGAACTGCCACAAAAGCCGTCCGATGTGTCAGCGCGGTCTCTGACCTCCGCGCAGATCGTGAGCCGAATGGAATCAGACCAGCTGCTTTTCCAGACATGGGCAGTCGAAAGTGCGAAACATCTGCCGTCCCCAACCTTCCGCGAGAGATCGTCCGAGCCCACTCAGCCGGACAGGCCCAGCACGGAGTTACCACCAGCTGATGCAGCCGACCTTCGCACGCTGACTGTTGAAGGAGGTTTCTGGGATTGGGCAAAGGAGTGGTCTCATGCCTCCATCGTGCAGGTGGCCATGCCCGACCCAGCCACGCAGCTTGTTGCAGTTGAGCAGCCACTTGATGCGGATGCTCAAGAAGACGGGGAAGAGGCTGAACTAGAGGAGGACGATGAGACTGTTCAAGCTCTATTTCTGCAGAACATCGGCTCGGACGCGGAAGAGCCTGGACCAAAAGCACTCACTATGTAGAGGTCGCTTGAGCCGCTAGGGCCTTTATTCGAGCGACTTTGTCCAGAGGGATCACCCTGAAAGGGTCATTCCTCTCACTGCGCGGGCAATCCTGTAAGGAACTCGCCCCGCGCGATGCCCCGTGTGCGCTATTTGACAAAAGGTCCAGAAAGGGTAAGTAGACTCGTGACACAATGATGGTATGCCTCCGCGCCCAGGATGTAACGATGACGATGCACAGGCAGCTTGCTTAGGGCTTCCTGCTTCTGTTGGGGTAGTCTCAGATCTCAGCCAGCTGCTGCTGTAGGAATGTTCCAGCCGCAGCTGTCGGCGCGGCCCCTGACGGTACCTTGCCACTGCCTATACCCCTGCATCGGGACACTCAGGCACACTGTCAGCAAAGCCTGCAGATGCTGTATCCTCGCAGCCCCATGCGCAAGCTGCTGGGATTGAGGCAGCAAGGCTGTGCGGTCCTGTGGTGTGGCTTGCTCCTTGGAAGTTTCTCCAGGTGCCGATGCGCATGGAGCCAGAAGGCCACGATCCTGCTTACACCCTTTCGAAGGGACGGTGGAGCAAACCGGACCGGACAATGCTTCACCCTGGAGCATGTCTCTTCTTGTCCCCACCTGTCTGACGGTTTGTGCCGGATGAGGAATCTGAGGATCCAGCCTCTGTATGCCGGGAAAACGAACTGAGGCACTGTGCATTGTGCAGAGGTCTGCATACAACTTTAAAACTTTGCAAGCTTCACGGAATGGAAGCTCGTGTTTCATAAGGGGCTGCTGATGCGTCAAAGCTTCGTTGTGTTTTTGCCAGGTGTGCCCGACTCGAAAACGGAGCAGCTAGCCGAACCAGCGAAAGCCTCCGATCCGGAATCGGGAGAGCCGGAAGTGGCTCCAGTGCGAGTTTTTGTGCTGGAAACTCGTTCTGGAGAGACTGCCGTTGCCGTGGAGCGGTCCGACGGCAAGAAGTGGCGCTTCATGCGGAATGCCATCGACTTCGAGCTGTGCGCGCAAAGTGCGGAGCTGCAACAGTGGCTTGCCGGCCTCGTCTCCGAGCAACTGCCGGGGCTGCTGACTCTGCTCGGCAACGAAGTCCAGAGCCGGGGTGCGGCTCTCAAAGCCGCAGAGAAGGAACGCGATACCCTCAGGGGCACGGAGGACTATAGTTTTTTTGGACTGGATGGCGAAAGCTGTACCGAAAAAGACATTGACAGAGCCTACCGACAGCAGTCAACCCGACTTCACCCTGACAAAGGTGGGGATGAGGAGTCCTTCACTCAAATGAGGGAAAAGTATGAGCAGCTGAAATCCCTACGCGGCGAGAGCAAACGAAAGGAAGGGGGCTCCATCAAGTGGGATGCCAAGAGCAGAGAGTCGATGCTGCGTGCTCACGGAGATCTACGAGATCAACTTGTGTGGATCACACGCCACATCGCAGAGGTGGAGGAGGAGCTGCGCACACTGCGGCTCCGCCAGGCAAAGAAACTCAGCCTCCCCCCTTCAGAGAATGCATGAGCTGATCGACGCCGGCTGCACATTCCCTGTGCCAAAGATGCCTGCAGTCGCACTCGGAAAAAATGAATCAGTCAGGCAGGCAGGGGGGCGGCGGGTGGGTGGGTGGGGGAGGGGAGGTGGGTGGGGGAAGCTGATAGCGAACATGTTCATCAACAAGAACAATATTATGAGCACCATTATCATCCTCAACAGCAAACATGAGCGTCACCATGATCACCACCGGCGTCAACATCTAACGAGCATGAACGTCATGGTCATCGTCATCAACATCAACATCACAATCTTATTGTTCATCACCATCTCCACAATCATGTTCTTATCATAAGGAACACCTGTGTCCTCCCCCATCATCATGCTCATCATCATCATCATCGTCATTGTCACCATCATCCTCATAGCCACCATCATCGCCATCATCACATCATCATCATCTTCATCATCAGCAGCATCAACACGACAATTTTAATCTCTATCATCATTCGCAATGTTACTTGTTTCACATCCTGAAGCGGTGCCTTTGTACGCTGCGTCCTGTGCCCGCCGTAGCTCACCCGCGCTTCCCAGATGGCCCTTCACTTGCAACCTGCAGAAAGTTTGACCAACGCTTGTGTGGGACGTGCTGCATTTTCTGTCCTGGACGATGCGGACATCTGAAGAATCTCACTCTGAATGCCCTAACATCTGAAGCCTCGGCCCTGGAATACAAAAGCACTCATGCTGCTAGAACATGCCGAATCCTCTGCGCCTGCCAGCGATTTATGACTTCGCCTGTGAAACATACAAACACAAACGCCTCCAATTCGTTTGCCTTGACGCGACATTGTCTGATACCCACGTTTGCGGCAAACGCGGCTCCCACACCCTGGATTTTGGGTTTGGGGCTGCAGCGACATGCCCAAGTTTTTGCAGTTCCGGTGGACTCAGCTGCACTTCCAAATGCCAGCTTCTGACCAAGGCAGAATCGCAAGGACAAGCTAGCTGAGCTACCAATCTTTTCAGAAAGGCTCTTGGCGGAGATCAACAGGGTGTACTATGTACAACACTGCTCCAACTGCATGAACAGCAGCGGGCACGACCTTTCTTACAGTAAAGATCGGTGTAAGCATTGATGCAGACTTCCCTTGCCCTTGGCCTTCTCATGGCGTAGGTTCCTGAGCGGCGTGAGCTTGTCCAGGCATTAACAGGTGACGAGATGTTTCCAAAACTGCTTCCAGCGAGGTGATGGCAGGTCCGGGCTCAGGTGCCTTTGAGCCACGCTGACCATACTCTCGGGGAGAGTGTGCGACCGTGCGACTGCAAGGTGTCGACGGGCGGACCAGACCCGGCTTCAAGTGGAAAAGTTCCTTGTCATTGCGAAGCGACGGATCGGTGAAGTTGTCAGCCTGTCAGCCTGGGCCCGGGCAGCCACTCAGGTGCAAGGAACACAGCACCCTCTGGCAGCGATGCAGCCAAACCCGTGCAGCAGCCTGCTCAAGAGAGTGGAGCAGAAGAAGCCGAGATGCCACATCTGCTGCCCACTCAGGCCAGCCCGTTGCAACAGCTGTTCTCATGGCATTCATTTGGATTTGGCAGGCTCCAGAAATCCCAGTTCAAGCTGCCTTCGCCAACGGAGAGATGGTGGAGATCATAGGCACGGCACAGACCCGCAGACAGACGCAACCAGAGAATGGACGCCACAGTCAGACTTGGAAGGCTTGCAGGGTGCACTGGACCTGAACGGACGAGTGGGTTCTGAGCTCGCCGTTGCCTTACCTGTGCCTGTGCTGAGCAGTGGATTCCCAGGCATCGTGCGCGAGTTTGACCCAGCCTCGAGGAGGCACCGAGCTGAGGCCTCAGAGTGAGACTCGCAGTCGCTCGTTTCTTTGCATGTCCTTTTTGTTGTCAGCTCTTGTGGTGTCATGCCAGCGTTCGAGAATTTCGGAGAGTTAGGGGTTCGCGTCGTTTCAACGTATATGTTTTTGAGTGGATTAAAAGTCGCCACCAGTGGGATCTTCACTCGGGGTTTGGGATGGCCCGACAGATCCAAGGTGGAGCTTCTCGAAGAGGATGGAAGTGTGCGACAAGTCCGGGTGAGGCCTTTCTTGGGTCAGCCGACCTGCCGGGCCGGGGCATCTTTGCACAGCACGACTTCCTCACCTGTGCGTCGGCAGCTTCAAGACATCCTGTCATCGCAGAATGCGAGAGGCCAGCAAACCTGGACTTGCCATGCTCTTAACGTTCAAATGTCAACTGGGATGCACCACCCGGGCAATTTCTGATTTTGCTCGAAGGCTGAGTGCGGAAGAGTTCATGCCTTCATGCGCCTCCAAGAAAGAGCCGCCGACGGTCAGCAAGGAGCGACTATGCTTAGCCAATGAAGGATCAAAGCGAAGCAAGTGCCGGGGCATGCAGGGAGTGGCTTGACCTGGGATCCTGCCGCCTTTGGCAAGCTGCCACCGCACAGAGCTTCTGCTGGAGAGGATCCTGCAACGCAGCGCCCTTCACAGCCAGTCAGTTTCTCGGGTCTCAGCTTGATTGCTTCCTGCTACAAATGCGGCGGGAGCTTGCGTGGCTTCATGAAATTTCCCGTTTTCTGTACATTGCAACCTTAGGTTCGGACGTCCCGCGAAGAGCCAGAAATGGTTCGCCCTTCCTGGATTTCAATGCTGCAAAGTGCATGCTTACATTTCCGAGCTTCCGTTTGTTCCGGTGAAAGCCTTGTTGCAGGCTGTGGCGCTTGCGAACGCCGTCAATCAGTGTGATCTGTTTCAGGCTAACCGTGCTGGTGGAAGCTGCAATGGCCAGCAAGCCTCGGCGTCTCGGCGTTGTGTGGCGTCTGTGAGAAGGTGCAGGCACTGCTTCGTGACAGAGCTGACCCGAATGGCCACTCACAGTCACCCGGCACACCCTTGCTGTTCGAAGCTGCACTCGGCTCAGAATGATTTGGTTGTGAGTGCTCAGCCAATCGATTCGAGCTTGAGCGAACGAGCAAGTTCGAAGCTTCGCAGGCTGCAAAGACTGCTGCGCAGAGCCTTGACTTGGCTGCACTGCTGTCCGGATCTTTGCCCTTGCGGTGTACCGTGGTGGACACTGACCTAAGTGAGTGCTGCTACTTGCAAGGCTGGGATACAGTGCCGACCCTGATGCTGTGCTAGATCGTCCTCGATCCGCCAAGGTCTAGAGTACCGGATGCAACTGTTGCAACATGCCGACACACACACACACACACACACTTTGTGCCGGAGAATAAATGCTTCTGCCGTCATGTGACAAGGCGGTCCGGTCGGAGAAAGAGGTGCCCTTTGCTGCAAGCCATTTCATGTTGCGGTGAATCAAGACTCCTTGGCTACCCGTCCTGCTCGAGGTGGAGACGCTTTGCCAAATCTTCCGCAGCAAAAGCGCATCCACGGAAGAGGTGTTCCCTTCCTCGCTAAACTTGAACTCGATGTTGATGTTGCCTGCAACACAAGACATTGTTTGTAAGATAGCGGTCGGGGGAGTTCCCGAAGCTGCAGCACCGGTTCCTGTCAAGCCAGCTCAATCCGCCTGCTGAGCGAGGAGCGTGCCATCCTGTCCAAGCTTGATGCTGGAGCACTGGCACAGGCTCTGCTCTGTTAAGCAAGATCGCTCTAGACAGCGCCACACATGGGTGAACAATTGTGAACATGTACCGTCAGTCACAGAACGAGATGCCATAAGACGTGGCTCGCTGTTTGCAAGCCGCTGTCTTCAGGCGCGCCGGCTGCTGAAACTGTCTGGGCCCTTCGCGCCGCTCACAGCAAGTTGGATAGCAAAACAAGCTGGCGATTTATTGCCTTGTTCCATCTCTCGGCACCAGTACCAGAACCGGCACCAGTAGGCTGCCGCAGCCACAAAGAATTGCCGAACGCATGCCTGCAAAGCCCCGGAATCTATCTCCTCGAACTCCGACAAACATGTAAATCTGGCAGCCGGCTGTAGAGGTTGCAGGAGCGCAGGCATGCGCAGGCTACCCCGCAACTCCATGCCGGATCAGCGATGCCTGAAGCTGACAGCCCCGCACATAATACACATATTATAGTTCATGAAGCTTAGGAGGTGTGTGGGGGCCCTGCCGAAATGCGACCTCCGTGGAACAACCTTTCTTAGTGAGGCCTGGTGTTTGGATGGCAGCCCACATCTTGAACATGAGTATCCAATCCAACTCAATAGTACGCACTTGCCGCCACCAGCTCAAACTGAGCATAAGGAATTAGCACGAATGAGTTCACTAAGCGTCAAGGCGTAAGATGCCGGAGACATCTGAAGATACTGTACCAGCAGAACCTAGTTTGGCCGTAACATTGGGCAAAGCGGTCACTGGCTGTGGGCAGAAACTCCAAACAGACCCGAAACTCTGCAACGTATGCGTGGGCTTGTAGTCGAGGCTTGGGGGCATTGCACCTGCAGTCTGTCTCGAAGAATCCAGCAGCTGCCAAGAGTTGGAGGACTTCATGCGAGAGTTTGAGTTTGTTTTGATCTGCAAGCCGCAGTCGCACCGCAGCTCCCACGGCGCAGGCCACGAAGGCGCACAGGCTATTTCTGCACTCGGCAGATGGCCTGCGGCCTGTCCTGGTCATGCGGCCCTCGGGAGGCCCTGTCGGTACCGTTTCGACTTGTTCTCTCTTTGTTCGGGTGGCAGGACAACCAAGCGCCCTGGTGGTATTGCTTCATGGGTGCACCTGGCATCATTGCCGGTTGTACTCTGCTGACAAGAAAACAAGCTGCATTCAACTGGATCTCAGCTTTTCTTGGCGAGGCTCTTTCAGCGCATGCCTTGGCATTGTGGTGCGACAGCGCGCCCGCGTAATTTCGCTGCAACACGCAATCCAGGTCGGCACGAATGTTGGAGACCACAGTGCGCCGCCTTTCTGACTCAGTTCCTCACATGCTGTTTGCGCCCTGCCTGCATCAGCAGCGCAAAGGTTTGAAGGGAGTTCTTATGGATCCAGAAAAGCAGAGAGCAGCGAAAACGGCACAGGTAATGCCCACCGCGCCTACACGTGCCGGAAGCTGAGAGCTAGGGACGGCTCGCCGCCGCCCTTGACTGAAAGATTCGCGAGGCTCTGTGCATCGCGCAGTTTCGTCTTCGCTGTTCCAAGGATGGCTGGAGTGTTGGCCCCGTCAGATGCTAAGAGTGCAACAGAATGCACGAGTCTGCACAGACCACTGCTTCATCCGAATCCAAGACTACTTGTACCTGCCGTCGTCTCATTGTTCTCAAGTTTCAGCAGAACAGAGACGAAGAGCGGGAGATTGCTGGCGCTGGCAGTGTAAGTGTAGTGTCATTCAGCATTCATGGCCTCCAACGGTGCAGCAAGCTTTGTCATGCCCGACACAGGTATTGCTACGGTGGTTACAGTCTGCCTGTTGTAGGACACTGCGCCTTAGCTTGCACAGCCCGGCGATTCAACCTCATGGCGCTGTACAACATGGGCTTTCATGATGCGAAGCTCGCTTGGGGCAACTGGGACTACGTGGACCTATCGCACTTTTCGAACATTCCGCCTGGTGGCGAATTGAGGACGTCTGCAGTGATGTTCGTGAAGGAGTGTCGGGAGAAAGCCCATCCTCCTGGACTCTTTGCAAGTGTGGCCTCCTTCACAGCAGGAATTGCACTTCACCGGATTTGGCATCACCAGAAGAAATCAGAGAAGGTGACAATTCCGAGACTGGTGGAGCTGCCGAATCGCAAGGCGTGTTCTGAAGTCCCACCGTCGAACTGGGCTTTGCCATTGGTGCTGAAGTGCTCAGGTGCAGCTGTTTTGGTCATGGCAGCTTCGCGCAAGGTGCGAAGGCGTATTTGGAAAGGGGCACGGCTGCTGGACTTGAAAAGAAATGTCTCCAGAGCCTCCTCTACACCCTCGGAGGCCCCATCACCTGTTCCAGTGGCACCTGCCCACTCTGTCGATGGAAGTGTATGGCGTGAAGCGGTGGGTGGCGCCCCGCATCCACGAGTCCAAGAGGCACCGACTTGCATACCATGGACCAGTCAGAACGTGCACGTCAGAGGTGCCCCGCCATCACCTGCGGCTGGAGCTGACAAGGCCAAGCCTGTGAGCGATGATGCCAAACCCCAGGCCGACAAGAGCGTGGCGTCTGTGAAGCCAGAGGCCGACAAGATCCCGCCCCCAGCTGTGAAGCCCGCGAAGCCGGAGGCCGAGGAGACCCCAGCCGTGGATGTGAAACCGGAGCTCGACAAGATCCCGTCGACGGATGTGAAGCCGGAGGCCGAGGAGACCCCGCCCATGGATGTGAAGCCGGAGGTCGACACATCGCCGGAGAGCAAAGCCATGCCGAATGAAAGTGCATCCAAGGGCAAGGGTCCGCAGGGGAAGGGTCCGCCACTTAAGGGCAAGGGCAAAGGAAAGATGCCATCTCAATCTCCACCTGAAGGAAAAGGCTCAACAGGCAAGGCAGCAATTCGTGCACTGGTAGAAGCTGCCAAACAGCAGACAGAGTTGCCGGAGCCACGAAACCGCAAGTGGAGTGCTCCGAAGTCAACAGGGACGAGTCTGCTTGACACCTCCAGGGCCACTAACCTGGCGATCATGCTCAAGAAGCTCCCGGTAAGTCCTGCCGAGTTCTGTGAGTGTGTGAAGATGCTGGACAGCTCTCATTCCCAGATTGCCGTTGGCCACGTTGAGCTTGTTCTCGCTAACATGCCTTCCCAAAGCGAGGCGCACAAGCTGCTATCTTATGACGGCAATGAAGGGCCGCTTCGAGATGTCGAAGCCGAAGTCTTGCCACTTTGTTCGCTAAGTGCCTCGGCAGTGAAGGTCTTCAAGATCGCCATGGAACATGAGGATGTCTATGCACGACATATGGCACGGTGCAGAACCATCTCCAATGCCGCGCAGGAAGTCTGCCGCAGCAGGGAGCTTCGCGAGCTCCTGACCTTGATCCTCCACACCGGAAAGTACATCAATTCTGGTGCACCTGGTGCCAATGCTGCTGAGACCTTCACCGTCGAGTCGCTGCAGTCCCTGTCCACCTTCAAGATTGGCCCAATCTCTGCGCTTCATTTTCTCTGCATTTCTTTCCGGGGCATGAAGAGAGAATTCCTGCAGCTACTCTTGTCGAACTTGCGACATGTGCATGCAGCGGCCAAGGAGAAGTTCGGCCAGCTTGATGTTGACATCCATTCGAGTTTCCAGGACGATGTCAAAGCCGTCGAGAACAGACTGGAGCAAGTGAAACAGGAAGTTCAGGAGCAATGCCACTATGAAAGACTCGCGATGCTGACGACGCAAATGACATCTGAGCTTGCAGCTTTGAGGACTTCCTTTGCCTCCGCCAAGCAGCTGGTTGCAGAAGCTCAGGCTTATTGTGATGGTGCTTCAAGGGAGTCGATGCCAGCAGAGCTCTTCTTTCAGCATGTCGCCACATTCTTGGGCATCTTCCGGGCGACTTGGGAGGAGATTGATGCGCAACCAGCAAAGTGGCGGAAGTACTTGTCAGAGGCTGTGACAGCAAATGCCTTAAGCAACGATATCACGGCATGGGCCCAGCAGCTTGCACGTCAAAGCATCAAAGACAGGCACGAAGTACCGTCCAGGCGGGAATGCAGAGTTCACTTGTTTCAGGCCTTAAGTTGAGCATAACTTGCAGACTGCACCCGCTGGTCAGGCAAACATCATCTGACGCCGACGTTTCATCTTCGGGGCATGCTTTCTCGGACGTGTCCTCGGTGAGCAATGCAGAGGCCAAGAAGCTGAAGTTTCCTGCCATGAACTTTGTCGGCATCCACGCAGACCAAGCAAACCACTCGCCGTTGCCCTCAAACTTGCCGACCCGCTCGCCTTCACCCACTTTGAGAGCACCGTACTGCGGACTCGCTTCAGCTTACAACGTTCGCGAAAGGCCCAAGTCCAGATCGCCATCACCCCGGAGGAAAGCGGAGGAGTCCAAAGGCTCAGTTCCAGTCACATCCGAAAGATCCGGCAGATCGCGGCCACGGACCTCTTCACAACATTCGCAATCCACAGCCCCGCCCAGGAGCAAGTCCCCGCAGTCAAGATCACCGGTCAGAGAGGCGCTGATGGCTCACACACCGACTTGGGGGAGAGCAAGCAGCGGATCTGCAGAGGAGCTTCTATCTTCCTTGTCTCTGTCGTACAGTGGGCAAAGTGGGGCAACATCGCGATCCGTATCTCCGGCTCCGAACAGAGTGAGTACTCGAGATGGTGGCGACAAGGGTTCATTCTCGGAAAGCAGCGCATCATCCCCTGCGGCTTCACCACGCCAGAACTCCAGTTCACGGGCACCGTCGGCAGGGTCTCATGGTGGTCATGTGGGCAGCGACTTCTTGCCCGATATTTCAAGGGACGTCCATGCGACTGAAAGCGAAGAAGCTTCCGTTTCCAGAGCACAAGCACCAAAGCCTAGGGCAGATGACCTTTGCGAGTTTCACGTGCTTCATGACGAAGCTGGTCAGGCATCCAGGCAAAGTGGCTTCGAACAGATGCTCCGGAGACTCGGTGTGCGCAGGGCTCCCGAACAACAGACAGAATGAAGCATGCAAACGCACGGAGCCTAGACGATGCTAGGTGGAGAAGACAGGCAGATGCATCTAACATTGGTACACATGCATCCAGCAAGCGTTTGCATGCGGTTTCATCCTATGGATTCGCCTTCGAGCGTGTCTAGACTCAGCCAGCCACGTGCAGTGCTATACACGTATGCACGGATATGCACACTTCGCCGACTGGTTTGTACTGGATTTGTCATTTCGCATCTGTGGCTGGTGCAGGGCGAGGAAGAGCAAACAGACTCTTCTTGCTGCCCCCCACATTTGAAGTACAGCTTGGCAACAGCGCAAGCTTTGTTTCCATCCTTTTAACAATCTACTCTTGGGACAGGAACACGACTGCCCAGCCATCTGCCGGAAGCCTGACAGAAGTCAAAAGCCTAGGCCAAGCCGTTTCAGCGCACAATCTGGAGCACAAATGAATGACGTGAGCCTTGAGTGTTTGATAGAATCACCGGCTTCCTTGAAACACAGAACGGCAGTACAACACGGTACAGCCCGACTGAATCATCTCTGGTTATTCCAAGTCATGCCGAATCCTTTGCAGGCCGTGCAGGTCTCTCATTGGCAACACTTGGCCCTCCGAATTCGCTCATGAATGTCTCGATTGCATTGCAAAGACATGGAAATCATGAGCCAGACTTCGTAGAAACTCTGGCCAAGTATGTGCATCTAACAGCTGCAGCAAGCAGAAAATCAGATTGAAAAACGTCAGTGCTACAATGCGTGATGTGATGCCAGCTCTACCTTGCAGATTTCTCCGACTGCACCGCATTGCTTCTCTGTCTAAGGCATGGTTTGACCACACACGCTCTGCTCGCAAAGCTGAAGCTCTTGAGGCTGTTGTGGAACCTGGCCGAAAAAATTCTGACTGGGTGATCGTGCTGGTACTCAGTGCCCGCGAAGACAGCAGGAGTGTCGGTCCGAAATCCTGGCACTGCTCAGCTCTCAAGGCAAAGGAATTACCACAGTGTATTTGCATGCGAAATCGAGCGTGCCTCGCTGCCCGAAGGCCATGAGTGGGGCATCACACCCGAGCGAGTGGTTCTCGCGGGCTTCTCCATGGGCGGCACGCTGGCAGCCTGGACGGCGCTGCAGGCGAGACAGCACCGAGTGGAAGAGAGTGGTCCTTTCCAGAATGCCTTGCGAAAGAAGCCTGTCAGAATACTTTTTGGCCAGGCATCTCCGTGTTTGCCCATGTTTGTCAGTGTTTTCTTGTTTGTTTCTCTGCCTGTTTGTCCCCGTGTGTGTGTGTGTGTCATGCCCTGTGTTCCGGGTTGCAGTCCAGGATTTGTGGCAGTCACACGTAGACATGTCATTGTTCTTCAGTTGCCGATGTTCTGCAACACAGAGGGGGGACTGGGCACTCTGCGGCTGACCCAGTCTTCCGAAGCTAGGTCTCAGAGTGGGATTTGGTGCTGAAAGACTGGCAGGGGCTAAGCCAAGAACCCCAACATGTTGGCGCGAAAAGGCGTGAAACGATTCAAGCTGATACTTTGTAACTGTAGCTACTCCGAAGTGCGTGCGTGCATGTGCGTGCGTGCGTGCGTGTGTGCGTGTGTGTGTGCGTGCGTGCGTGCGTGCCTGCGTGCGTGCGTGCGTGCGTGCGTGCGTGCGTGGGTGTGTGTGTGTGTGTGTGTGTGTGTGTTTGTGTTTGGTTCGGGGGTATCCTTGTCGCAAAACTGAAGCAATTTTGAAGGGCCTATACGTGTTATCGCAGGTTGAAAGGCAACCATTACATGATGAGAACAGACATGGGTCGTGCTTTGGGAAATCTGCACCGTGATCTTGTAAACTTGACCAGAATCAATGCCGGTGTGTGGCATCATGTAACATCCACAGCTTACAAGAACAGTTACGGGAGGTCCATACTAGACCATCCATTCTACAGGCACACAGGGATACATGCACCTAGGCGCCGCGAAACATTGCGGCAGTGCCGGAGACATGCTGCACGTGATGGGCATTTCAAGTCAGATTCACGACCCGGTTGAGTAATGTAAACTGTCTTCGTCCACGAGTCTTGTGTTCGGAAATGCCAAGCCATCAATATTTGTCTGCTTGCTTCATCAAGCAAAAACGAGCTCAACTGCGCACGTGCGACCCCGAACGATTACTGAAGTGCTGCCCGGGTCGGATCACTTCCAGTGCTCTTAAAATTTGCATGCGT